CCGAGCCAGCTTCCATCTTTAATAACACTGTCTCCTCCATGCTTCCTTTCCTCGCCCCTTTCTTATTTGTCTACACCCAGAGGGTATGAGATACCAGACATTACTCAGGGAGGGGGATGGCCGATTCCAAATGGCTGTCTCCATTCCCTGATAAGTGGACATTCAGGTTGTTTCCAGTTTTGTGCTATCAAACAATAAAGCAATGAAAAGCCTTGTACATGCACCATTTTGTATTTTTACCAGCAAATCCAACCAATAGGTCAAAGAGATATCTAATTCCCATGTTTATTACAGAATTATTAACAATAACCAAGACATGGAATCAATCTAAGTGTTTTATCAAGAGGTGAATAGATAAAGAAAATGTGGAATACTATTCAGCCTTTAAAAAAAGAAAGTCCAGGGTGGCTCCTGTGGCTCAGTGGGTAGGGTGCCAGCCCCATATACTAAGGGTGGCGGGTTCAAACCCAGCCCCAGCCAAACTGCAACCAAAAAATAGCCAGGCTTTGTGGCAGATGCCTATAGTCCCAGCTACTCAGGAGAATGAGGCAAGAGAATTGCCTAAGCCCAGGAGTTGGAGGTTGCTATGAGCTGTGTGATGCCATAGCACTCTAGCAAGGGTGATATAGTGAGACTCTCAAAAAAAAAAAAAGTCCAGTGGGGCACAATGGCTCATGCCTGTAATCCTGGCACTCTGGGAAACTGAGATGGGTGGATTGTTTGAGCTCACCAGTTCAAGACCAGCTTGAGCAAAATTGAGACCCTGTCTCTTAAAACTAGCCAGGCATCATAGCAGACGCCTATAGTCCTAGCTACTCAGGAGGCTAGGGTAAGAGGATCACTTGAGCCCAGGAGTTTGAGGTTGCTGTGAGCTATGACACCACAGCACTCTACCCAGGGGGACAAAAGTGAGACTCTGTCTCAAAAATAATGATAATAAATAGGTGGTGGATTGCTTGAACTCAGGAGTTTGAGACCATCCTGAGCAAGAGCAAGTCCCTGTCTCTAAAAAAATAGCCGAGCACTGTGGTGGCTGCCTGTAGTCCCAGCTACTCCAACGGCTGAGGCAAGAGGATTGCTTGAGCCTGAGAGTTTGAGGTTATTGTGAGCTATGATGCCACAGCATTCTACCAAGGGGGACAAAGTGAGACTATGACTCAAAAAGAAAAAAAAGTCCTTTCATTGCAACGACATGATGAAACTAGAGAGCATGTTAATTAAACAAGGCACAGAAAGACAAATACCACATCATCTTCCTTACATGAGGAATCTAAAATAGTTAAACACATAGAAACATAGAGTAGAATGGTGATTACCAGGGCTGGGGGGTGGGAAAGGATTGGGACTATGTTGGTCAAAGTACACAAAAATTTCAGTTAGAAGGAATAAGTTCAAGAAATCTATTACAATGACTGTAGTTAATATATAGTATACTTAAAAGTTGCTAAAAGAGTAGATTGTAAGTATCTCATCACAAAAAAATAGTGTGTGAAGCAATACATATGTGAAATAGCTTGATTTAGCCATTCTGCAATATATACATATATCAAAACACCTTATTTTTTGTCATACACACACATAATTTTTACTTGTCAATTAAATAAAGGGAAAAACACAAACTTTGTTTTTCTTTCACGCAACTCTTCCTACAACAGATGTGGGGTGGAGGGTTCCCCTACACTACAACTGGCTGTTTTACAATTTAATTCAAGTCTGACACTGCCTTCCTAAAGTCAGTGTCACATCCCACAGGTTAAATGCTCAATCCTGCAAGGCTGCCCCCACTTGAGACATCAATCAGAAGACAAGCCCGAGGTTGTAAATTAAGGTTCCCACAACTGAGTCCCCTCCTTGAATATAATAACTTGCTAAAACAGCTCACAGAACTCAGGGAAATACTTTTGGTTTTACATTTTTTGAGACAGAGTCTCACTCTGTCACCCTCAGTAGAGTGCTATGGCATCATAGCTTACAGCAACCTCTAGCTCCCAGGCTCCAGCAATCCTGTTAGCTCAGCCT